TTGCTACAGAATTTACACCAGCCTATAACTACTTTGTGCCCTAATTGTGGTGGTTTCCCTCTTGTTCAGGTCAGAAAAACTGGGTGAGATTTTGGTGAGTCCCAACACATCCTGTTTTCTGCTGTGCAGCCCTGACTATAATTTCCATTTTCCAACACTTGTTTTCTCCTGCTGCCAGAAGGTCACCTTGGCATTTTCCAGTGTCAGTGGGCTGCCTTTTCCCCTGACACAGGGCCAGCTCTCCAGGGCATTCCCAAGGGCCCTGGCTGTCCTTCCACCTACCAGGACTGGCTGTTTGCCTCAAGGGGTGGCACTGGCCCTCAGGTTTTTTCTCATGGGAGATCCTCAGAAAGAAATTTTCACTCCTCAGCAGCCTGGCCTAGGAACTCCTGCAGTTAGAAAGGAGAAGTCTTCCTGGAAGGACATCTGGTCTGAAGATATCATTCAGCCTCCACTTCTCCCATTACAAGGGTATTTCACTTCAAATTCTGCTTTTGTCTCAACTTCTATGCCTCATCTTAAAAAAACTCAACAGCAATTCAAGTCACAACAGCATTGGCACGCAGGAAAAAGCTTGTAGGGGTATTCATGGTATTGTTATTCCTATTTACCTTATTATGAAAGCAGTTGAAAGAAGCTGCAAAGGAGATTTGTGGCAAAGCTGCAGTCAGGGAGGCCAGAAAATTCAGTGGTTTGTCATGGAGGTACTGGGGTAGACTCGGCCTTGAGCAAGGAAAGGATCCCCCTAGATGCCTGAGGGAAAGGGAAAAAGAAAGGGGAAGAGAATGCAGAAAGGGCTGGGCTGGAGGTGTGAAGCTGCCCTTTCTGCAGTGTCACACTGAGGAGGTGCTGTCCAGCCATCTGCCACACATGTTCAACAATCCTTAGAAAATCAGCACTGTTTAGACTTTAAAGGCTTGCTTTAAAAATTCAGCAGTAAAGTTCACCTGCCTTTCAGAGCCCCAGTTAAAGCAGTGTGGAGGTGTATTCCACTCTCTAAACCTGGGCTTCAGTCCAGGTGTCACTGGGTGGAGCTGAGAGAAAGAAGAGGCTCCACACACAGGCTCCAGTGCTGGGATAGACACACCAGCCTAACCACTGCACCATGCTGGGCTGGAGCTCACCTCTGCTACCTCCACACCTCTGTAAATGTAATGTAAAGACACCTTTTAAGCACTTCATCTCACTCTGTTTCACCAGAGCTGAGCAAAAGCTGGATCTGCTGTTCTGAGAGCCAGGAAACATTGAAATATTGAGGCTTTTCTCACTGAAAACAGACCAGCAGTACCCAACCCCACAGCACTTGCAGACCCTCTTGTGCCAGGAGGTTGGCCCCACATCCCGTGGATCCCTAGGGCTTTGTGTCACTCTCAGTCCCATTTGTTTTTTGGTGCAGAATGGAGGTGAAATGTGCTGCCCAAGGTCACCCAGCGAGGTGGCAGAGATCACTGGCAGGGATGAAACCTGAGAGCAGCAGACTGAGATTGGGTTCCTTTCCCCGTGGGACTGCAGATGAGCAGAGTGCTAATGGCTCTGCTACATTCACCTTCCAGGATAATGCCGAGGTGGCTGCCTGCCCCGCCTTCCCTGCTTCTGCAGCTTTTAAAATAGATTCTCAATCCTGGTTTGGTTTGTTCTGTGAGTCAGAGGGGTCTCCTACCCTCTGACCCACCAGCAGCTAAGAACTGAATTTTTGCTTTACATAAGAGAAATACAAAACAAACCCATCCCATCAGTGATATTTAACCCCCAAAGCTTCCAGCTCAACAGCTGATCCTGCTAATGTTCTTTAAAAGCATTTTTTAAGTTTATCACCTGCAGTGTGTTGACATGCTCTGTTTAAGGGGGTCTGTCTGCGTTTTGGCTCATAAAATATTTGCCATATTCCAGCCAATCATAGAATCATGGAAACACAGAATGGTTGGGGTTGGAAGGGACCTTAAAGCTCATCTCATCCCACCCCCTGCCGTGGGCAGGGACACCTTCCATTATCCCAGTTTGTTCCAAGCCCCATCCAACCTGGCCTTGGACACTTCTAGAGATGCACAGCTCTCTGTGCCAGGGCCTCACCACTCTCACAGGGAAGTTTTTCCTGATATCTAATCTAAACCTACTCTCTGTCAGTGTGAAGAATTCTCTTTTGTCTGTTACTACATGCTCTTATAAAAACTCCCCCTCCATCTTTCCTATAGGATCCCTTCAGGATAGGGAGAGCTACTCAGGAAGATCTAATACCATTCAGGTCTCATTTTTATCACAAATGCTCCTTCTCATTTCTATGCAGTCATTCTGGGACCCTCCAAGGCAGATTCTCTGAGACCAACATAGCACATTGCAACAGCAGCACATCTCCATAACCTTACAAGCAAGCCAAAAGTATTGCAAATTAATGCAGAATTCAGCTCTCTTGTAGAGTGTTAGACAAGCTCTGTGTGACTGAAGAACATCCTATTTAAATAACTTCTTTTTTCTGTGCTGTTTGTTCCTTTATGCATTTCCCCTTTTGCCTCTTGCTAGTTCTGTGAGATGTCACCCCGTGCCTTGCTGAGTTCTGCCTGACTCCCTTTGCCTGGAGTAAAGGCTGACACAGGTTTATTATTCCGGGTCACCAAAACCAGCGTCACCTGCAGCAGCACAGCTCTGTCAGCCGTAGCTCTGAGCACTGCTCTGCAGAGGGGGTGGTAGGAACAGCAGGGTTAGCAGACAGAGGGAAGTCTGCTGAGCTCAGAGCAAAGGTAAAAGGAATATGGGAAATTCAAAGGAAATACTGGGAACCAGCTGAGAAACATGAAAGCTTTGGGAAGCATGCAATGCTTCATCCTTGTTTGACGTGAGGCTCTCCAGTGGCTGATGGGAACACGGAGGATTTCCTCTCCAGAGGGGGCTGCCCGTAAGCTCAGAGCACAGAGCTGTTGGGGCTGTTTAAGAGGTTAAGAACTTCACAACTCTTTTGGAAACAGACAGCTCAGGAGACCACAAATACAGCGGCCGTGGGGCAGCATCCCCTTGTTTCCATCCTTTGCCAGGTGCCAGCACCAACTGCACAATGCTTCTTTTGTCCAAACCCTCACCCACTGTGATGCTTTAATACAAAATATTCTTTCTTGGGACCTTAAAATAGAGATCTATGGAATAATACAGACTGTGGAACCAGCATCAAGGATTTCAGACCATGTAACTGGTCCCTGCTGGGACTGCTCTGTGCCTTTCCAGCACTCAGGGAGGTAGAGTTCAATACTTGTATTTTGAGAAAAGTATTCCATGATTGTCAGAGGTGGTATTGAAACTTCTGCTGATTTCCTCAACAGATTGTTGATTTTCTAGCTGATTAAGTGCAGCCTAAACAAGTGTGTTTTCCCCATGACTTTCCCCTTCTCTCCCAGGTGTGAGGTTGGCATTGGGTATATAAAATAACACAGCACAGCCCAAGACCTGCTCCTTCCCAAAATCCTGTTTGTGCTGTTCCCTGACAAGTGTGACAAGCAGTGGCTGGAGATGTCTCCCTAGGATGCCACCTCCAGCCAAATGCTTTTGGAGAGACCTGCCAGGAGCAGATTGGGATCTGCTGGTTAACCCCAGGGGAACTGGAGGTGTTTTTCCAGAGCCAGGGTACACTAGACTGGTGAGACTGGATTTTGCTGTGTGTACCTCTTACCTGTCTGTGTAACACAGGAGATGAGAACAAAGCTCTAGGGCCAAATTCACAGGTAACACCAGGATTTGCTATCATTCCATCACAGCAGAGAGCACTGGGGAATGAGCTATTAAACACAGGGTATCCCAAGATGAATATTTTCTCCTTCCTGGGAATATTCCTTGTAAGCAGTCCAAAGGATTATGTCTCCTTCTAAAAGAAGTCCTTTAATTTATATTCTGAGGTACGCACTCCCAAGATTTAATTTACCCCAAGCTATGAAATTAAGCTTACCCAAAATTTCAGACTGGTTATTTATGCAATATATTCCACCACACAGTTGCTGGTTTAGCAGTGCAGTGATACCTCGAGTGCAGGAGATACTGATGAGGGTCATGATTTTTCCTAAGCCTTTAATTTAGACAATAAAGGATCCACATGCTTTGAACCCCCACAAAGAAGATTTGAAGTAATCTTAACAAATTATTTGTAAAAGCCAGATTGTATCCCATTTTCCTGCAACTTCTCAATGCATCTCCCCAGGAGCTGCCAAAATAAGAGGGAGGAAGAATGTTCTCAGGCTGTGTCTTTGTCTGTGAGACGCTGAATGCAGCAGCTGCAATCAGAACCCAGAGAGAAAACTCCTTGTGAGGAGTGTTTCCATTTTATTTTCCAGACCTCTGCCCATCTCAGATCATTGCTGGCTCAGTCTTGCATCATGTGGATATCATTTCCCAGTGACACCAGGGACCTTTACTGAGCTATGTTCACTATGTGTGTCCTGTCCCACATTCCAGGGAGGGCTCGGTGTCCAGGCTGTGACCGGAGCACCCCGCTGGCTGCCCTACACTGGCCAACAACTGCCTGAGGTGCTGCTTCCCACTTCAAGCACTGCAGCTGGGATAAGCTATATAAAAATAATAAAAAGAGAAGCACCTATCCCAAGACATCTAGGACACTACAGATTAAGCTGCTTTGATTACAGTCACTAAATAGACTTTGGTTTTTCATCTGAAATACCAAAAGGGATCTGTTGGAGACCCCTGAGTCCCTCGGGTACATTCATGCTACCCAGAATACAAGCTCTAAAAGGCTGCCACTGAAATCCAGGCCTCTGTGGCCTCTTGAGAATATTTTTCCTATAAAGCTGCAAAACCGTGAGCAAAAAGCCTTGTATGATAACTCGGAGGTAGACACGCAGGGGAGGTTGCTGAAAAAGTCTTGGATAGTTAGGAAGAATTAGTCTTGTGTCAGAAAGCTTGTTCTCAGACTGCTTGGCCTGGATGCTGAGGTGCCTGGGGGTGTCTCTCCCATCTCCCATGGGGTGGATGGCCGTGGTTCAGGGCACCACCAAGCCATGGGATATTTATGTTGGCTTCTCAGGCAGTTCCGTTGGGCTTGGTGGCTGTGGTTGGTCACTCTTGGTCTGGCCTGCAGGAGGGGGCCATGTGGTCTTCTGATGAAGGTGGCTGGAAAGGAGAAATATGCCTTAGGTAGTTTGGGAGAAGGACACAGAGGATAATGTGAAGACAGCACTCATTATTTAGGAAAGACGAGGAAGCCACTGAGCTTGCCTGGTTAGACTGTGCAGGTTGCCTGTTTTGTCTGAAAATGCTTTTCATAACCTTGAAATGATCATTTGCAAATGGGTACTTTGTACCCAAACAAAAAACTGTGCTGGCAGATCTTCAGGTTGGGTTAAGCTAAGAAAGTGGTAGGAGATATTTAGGTCTCAAAGTGCCCTTTCAGATCACTTTAGGAAATGGCTCTGTTAAATAAAAGCCATTTAAGAGGTTTCAGGGAAATTTAACAGCTTAAGGTCCAAACAAAGCCACGTCATCCTTCTCTCCTTGTCTGGAGCTTCACAGCATCTCGATATCACAGCATAAAGGATTAACATTTCAGTGATGCTTTTTCCCTTACACGGAGCACACTGTAAAAATGCCAGCTAGACAAGCCACAGAACCACAAATTCCCATCTGGCCTGAAGGAAATCTAGCATTTTATAAAGCAAAAGAGAAATCCAGGAATTCACACCGTGCAGGGTGGGAAGTCTCTTTCTGTCTAGGAATTTCACAGTATTTCTCTGAAATGGCCATCTGGAGGCCTCTCCTAGACTGATCAAAAGTTGTCAAGCAACAGTTTCGGTTAAAAAACCCCAACAAAACAAACAGGAATTTTTAGTATCTGTGTTGTCCAAATTACAGACCACAGCAGTTTTGACACCTACTCCTTGTAATTTGGGATTCCTTCAGCAGGCAGGCACTGGTTCCTGTCCCATGGAAGAGCTGCAGATGGAAGCACAGAGCCAAGTGTTAGTGCAGAGAACATGCCCGATGCTGCTGCATTATGATAATGCACATTTAAATGGGGCAGGAGCTCAGAAAATGCTGACAGTGCTCATAAACCAGAGGTGCTCCTGAAAGGCTGCAATTATTTCCTTTGTGTCTTGTACTTTGAGACAAAGCCAGTGCTGGGCCATGGCCACGCTGAGCTGGTGAATAGCATCAAAGAGCAAGGACTGGGCACCAGTTTGGGGCTGTTCATTCACCTGGACGTGACACTGAAGAAGTCAGACACTCATTTTGTGTGGCAAGAGACAAGCAGGATCAAATAATTGCCACCAAGAAATGTTTATGGCTCATGGACCAGCTCAGAGTCCAAGACTGGGAGAGTTAATTCACACTCCCATGGAGCTGGATGCTTGTTCCCTGATTTTCCCACAGATGTGAGGAAAAGGGAGCATGGCTGGTTTTTACTCCAAGGAAATGTGGAGGTGACTGTTTCATTCCACTCAGCATTGCTGGAGTTGTAGCTGGGTGGTGTAAGGAAAGTTTGGATCCTGGGTTTAAAGCTGTTGGGAAACTGGACAGGGTCCAGCAAGGGAAGCCCCAGGAGGAAGAGGCTGGGGAGGGCTGAGGGAGCTGGGCTTGTTTAGCCTGACAAAGAGGAGGCTGAGAGGCAACTTCACAGCCCCCACTGCTACTTCAGAGGCAATTAAAGGATGCTGGAGCCAAGCTGTTCCTGGCAGTGCAGCCGGTGTAACTGGGGGCAGTGGCCACAGGCTGCCCCTGGGGGAGCTCGGGCTGGGTGCTGGGAAGATTTTTATCACAGAGCAGTGAGGGAACACCATCAGGAAGGCTGTGAATCTCCATCCTGGCTGCCTAAACCCACTGCAGGTCCCCTCTACTGGGATGGCCCTACCTGGAGCAGATGATCTGATCTCCAGCATCCCTTTCAACCAGCATTTCAGTGATTCTGTGAAACCATCCTCCTGCCTCTTAGGATTTTTTTCCTGGATAAATGCCTTTCCTCTGGCCCTGGGCACAAGTCTTTGACTCCATACCCTGCCAGTCTGCATTGCAGATTCAAAGATGAATCACATGGATATAGGGAGGGCAATTACATCTCAGTGAGCATGAGAGAATCAGGGAGGCTCAACTGGTATGGAAAAATATGGAAGGTGCTGGAAGCTGTCAATAACACTGACAGAGATCCCTGAGACTCGCTGGGATTCAGCTTTCTCCAGTTAATTGAGTGCTTACCGTCCTTGTTGGAGAGGATTGGAGCTAGCAGTTCTTTAGCTTCTGATAGCAAAAGGTCAACAAGATCTGAAGATGGAAGAGATGTGTCTGAGACTGCGTCTGTTTTATCCTCTTCTGTTTCATGGTTGACGCTTATAAATACGGAAAGTGCCATCAATACTTCTGTCAGAGAATGGTCATTGACAATCCTGGCCAGCCAGGAAGGATGTGCAACATAAATTCTGTGTTTGGGGGGTTGCATCTCCATCCCTCTGCATTCAAGTGTCTATTAGACACCCTTGCATTGCTTTGTTACAGACAAATAGCAGAGCATTCTTTAGAATTTGTCAAAACTATCTCCCCCACATTATATTAGAAATAACCAACTTAGAAACTTAAAAACTGATTTCCATTCCTCTTAAAAACTGGCTTTTAAAGCCAGTCATCATTGATGGGACAGTGATTTTTCAATGATTTAATCAGTTAAAAACACATATGGAGTTGTGATACATTTATACCCAAGTGATAGGAGATAGGCTCCTGAAGCCTGAGCTCTATTTCTGCAGCCATTCATGCAGCTGAAAGTCTTGAGAGCTCCTTGCTTACACTCTATCTACTCTAACTGCTGATAAAAAAGGATGTGGTCCTGGGCCCAAAACTTGATTTATGTTTGGAAAAGCAGGTGGGTCAAAACTCTGCTGCTCTGAGACAACCTGCTTAGGGTCTCTGCTGACAAGAGCAATTTAACCCAAGCAGAGTTTCAGCTACTCACTCCCAAAAAAAGCCTGAACAGAGGCCAAAATCCCCCAGCACCAACCCACCAGCAGCCTCCAGATCATCTTTCTCCCATGGTTTCACTTCCAAAGTGAAATTATGTTTAGAAACTCTGGGTAGGTTACGTGTGAAGCACCTTCCCCTGAGAAAGGTTAGAAAAGGACATTTCATGTTGCTGTTCACCATTCCCAGAAGCCATCTCCTACCTTTTCTCATCTGGTAAACGACTGTGTGTGCTCAGGACCTTGTAAATGTTCTGCCATGCAACAACAACAGAAAAAAAAAATAAAAAAGGGTTTCAAACTTGTAGGAATGAATAATTCCAGAGAACAAACCCCATGGGTTTTTCCTGATGATCAGATTTAATATGACAGTAATCAGCTTCTGCTTATTCATTGCCCTTGAAGCAAATATCTCAAGGCCTTTTGCAGCTCAGGCAGCATTAATGAATCTACAGACACATCTGAATTCTGCATTTTACTACCAGTGCTAAAATATATGACATGCAACACAAAAATCCTCTTCCAAGGAATAATTTTGCAGGCTGCATTTCAGTGATCATTGCTGCCAGGAACTCCTGGCTCCTGGGTTGGACCTGCATGTGGAAGCTCTCATTACCATGCACTTCTCCAACACCACTGAGGGGTGGGGGAAAAAGGAAGATCTTTTGGTCCAGTGCTCAAAATCCTGTGATGTTTGACCCTGGGGTCAAATGAGATAGATTTCCAAAGTCTGACCCCAAACTTCACAGGCTCTAGCACACAGTGCTGAAGCTCTGGAGGCATTTAATTCTTCCTTCTCTGGAGCAGAGAACACAGCAGCTACATTTCCTTTTGCTCCACTGTTTCTGCTTGATTTCAAGAGTTCTTGGGACAGCCAGCAGTAGCCATAGCAGATACACTGAATACTGATGCTTCCCGTGCTGACCAGTTACATATACTGGTGCTCCCAGTGTAGGGAATGAAGTGGAAAAACTGCCAATTGAAAGACTAAACTGTGAGACTTTGCAGGCAATCCGGGGGGGAAGCACTGGAAGAGCAAAGCCACTCTGCAGGTTCCTATTTATAGAGAAGCAACCCTCAGCTATAGCAAGGGAAGGTGAGCACGGGTGATTTTGACAGCAGAGCTCCTGGAGCAGCCTCAGCACAGGGAGGCAGGAAGAGCAGAGCCACCAACAAAATCTGCACCACGGAGTTTGCATCGCTCCCAGAGATATGAGGAGAGCTCAGTTCATTCCCTGCTTCCTCCTAACCGACAGACAGGGGCTTTTTCGGGTGAGACAGCAAAAAAAAATCACCCTCTTGCTTATGAAGCAGGAAGTTGATTGGACTTGCAAAACCACCCTGAAGGGAAGAGGCCGTGGTGATGCTGCAGTTGCACACCTCACCTGCACAAACAGGAGCAGTTTCCTATTGCAGATCTCCAGGCGCTTCCGTGAGACTTCAGATTTTCGTAGCTGCCCATCAGCCAGGGACAGCTGCCTCTTCAGCTCCAGGATGTCCTCCTGAGGCAGGGACACAGGAGGAGGAGAGAGCTGGTGGTGATACTCCAGCCTTGGCTTTTGGAAACAACAGTTTGTGACATTTGCTACAAGCAAAAGCAATGTCCTTCGGGAAGGGACAGTGGAAGTTATACAAATTATTACACAGATCTAGAGACTGTGTTGGTCTTGTGATCCCACACAGCAAATGATCTGTGTGCTATTTCATTTTCTCCTTGTAAATAGAAAGAGGGTAACCTTAGCTGTGGCTGCCCCATCCCTGGAAGTGTCCAAGGCCAGGTTGGATGGGGCTTGGAACAACCTGGGATAGTGGAACGTGTCCCTGCCCACGGCAGGGGCTGGAATGAGCTTTTTGGTCCCTTTCGGCCCAAATCATCCCATGATTTTATGAACCCACAGAAGAAGAGCCTGAAGGGTCGTGGGCTTTTCCCCAGACTGAGGGGTTGTGTTACCTCTATTTCAGAGACGTGCTTTGCTTTTTTCCCCGCCAGCTGCATCTTCAGTTCTGCAATCTCAGCCTCCAGCAGGTGGATCACTTCCTCATAATCCTGCTCGGCACTCTGAGCCTGTCTCTGCACCACCTCAGCCATCTGCAGTTTGCTCTGCAGGGTCCGGTTCTCCGACAGGAAGCCCAGCGCCTTCTGCAAGCACCCAGAACTCGTGATGAACACAGCCCGTCCCCTCGGCTGCCAAGCCCCAAACCCACCCCAAGCGGCCCAGAAATCTCTTCACTAACTTGGTTCAGCCTCTGAAGCTCATCCTCCATCGACTTCTTGCTGCTCTCCACTTCTCTCAGAAGAGACTGTGGGAAATATTTTCACCAGATTAGAAGCAACAAATGACAGGACATTTTCTAGACTGCCCCAACCCACCAGAATGTTATTACAGAAGTTCTGTGCACTTTGCCACACACAGGGAGATCTTTTATGGCTGTGACCTGCAGAATGCCACCTGAACACTGCCGAGGTGCTGACAGCCAGGTGAGGGTGAGAGGGCAGGTGCTGCTTCTGTTAATCACACACTGGAATTCTTAATGAGAGCTGCTTTTTAAAGATATTAACTCCCTGCTGGGAAGGGACTGCATGCTTTGAGTACAAATAAGATTTCCTTTGAGGCTGAGAGCGAGAAAGAGGCAATTAAGGAGAGTGGAGGGTGAGAGGCTCCTGTGTGACGAGGAATGCACAGAGTGCAAACTGGTGACTTCTCCAGAGGGGCAGGCCACCCCATTACCCCCATGGAGAGCTACAGCAGAACACCCCAGCCAAGAAATGTGCTCTGAGGGGAGGCTCCACCTTCAGCCTGCGGACTTCGTGCCTCAGATCCCTCATCTCCAGCTGCAGCTGCTCCAGGTCCTCGTTGCCATTGCAGTTCAGAGAGTCAAAGGTCTGCAAGGAGAGGGACACACTCATCACACATTGAATCAAAATCACCTCAAAAAGGAGACAGCATTTTTATGCAATAGATCAAAAGGCACATTCAATAATTCAGCTCCAGGATGGTTCATTTTGCCCCACAGAATTTCACTCTTTGATCCCCATCATTGCTGAAATAGCTGAGCTAGAGTGAATTTTCACTTCGTGAACCAAATGAAATTACTTAGAATTGATTAATTATGGCTATTTTCCCTTCTGCATAACTACCAGGCTGCTTCCTCATATTATCCCATAGATACTGTTATTTCCTTATTAAAAATGAGAAGTTTGAGGTCTTCTATAGAATTTCCTATTAAAAAATGATTAATGAATAGTTCTGCCTTGTCTTTCTAACTCTAGAACAATCAGTAAATGGTACTTTAGCTTTTCCCATCTCAGAATTCCATGGATTTCATGTAGAAGATCCATGGATTCAATGTAGAAGAGTTTTGGGGTGACTGACCAGGGAGTGAAAAGCTGATGTATCCAACAAATTGGCCACTTCATGCTGAGTGAAGAGCATGGAGCTGGAATCCAGACCAGCCTCGTCCAGCTCCTCCTGCATCACATCCCTGAGTGCTTGGAGAACATCTGTGAGAAACAAGCAGGTTTTACCAGGCTAAAAGAGAAAATTGCTGTGTGGTAGGAGAAAATGCCACTGATTTTGGGGCCATCCACTGGTGCTGAGCAGGTTTTAGAGATGCCAGACATGTTTCTCTAATAATCCTGGGTTTGTCAGCAATCCCATCAAGCTTAAATGAGTTGCTGACAATCTTTATCAGACTCCTGTTTCTTTTCCATCTGAAAAAACCTACATTTTTAAAACCCAGAAAACCCAGGTATTTTCACAGGGGAGTTTTCACAACTGTGGTTCTGAAAGTTTTAAAATTTTAAGCTAAACCCGCATTTCCCTGACAAAAGGCACCTGCTGCTCTTTCTCATGTTGCTGATTTAAACAAAAAGACAGCTCAGTAAGTTCAGCACGTAGGAAAAGTGATAAATCAACAAGTCTGAGAATCCACATTCATTTTGCTTTCAGACATGAAGGCAAGCACAGCAAAAGGGGCTGCATGGGACACGTGGGAGCCATCAGGGAGGTGGCACCAGGGTCCCAGAGCTTCCAGTCACAGAGTCACAGATCATGGAATGGTTTGGGCACAAAGGGACCATAAAGATCATCTGATTCCATCCCCTGCCATGGGCAGGGACACCTCCCCGTGTCCCAGGCTGCTCCCAGCCCTGTCCAGCCTGGCCTTGGACACTGCCAGGGATCCAGGGGCAGCCACAGCTTCTCTGGGCACCCTGTGCCAGGGCCTGCCCACCCTCCCAGGGAACAATTCCTTCCCAATATCCCATCCATCCCTGCCCTCTGGCAGTGGGAAGCCATTCCCTGTGTCCTGTCCCTCCATCCCTTGTCCCCAGTCCCTCTCCAGCTCTCCTGAAGCCCCTTTAGGCCCTGGAAAGGGCTCTGAGGTTTTCCCAAGCTGGAGGCAGCTCTGCAGGTGGGGTCTCACCTGAGGGGGCAGAATGCCCCCTCCTGCTGCCCACCCTGGGGCTCCAGTACAGGGGGCGTTTCTGGGTGCTCACAGCCAGGCCATGGCCAGCTCTCATCCTCCAACACCCCAAATCCTTCCCCCAGGGCTGCTCTCCCTCCCTTCTGTACCCAGCCTGGATTTGTGTTTGTGACTGCCCCGAGCCAGGTGCAGAACATGCACTTGACCTTGTTGAACTTCATGAGGTTCACATGGTCCCACCCTGAAGCCTGTCCTGGATGGTGCTCAGTCCCTGGGCTGCAGCAGGAGCCAGAGTCTCTCTGCAAAAGCAGCACATTTGCTAAACACCCCCAACCATCCTTATTTCTGTTACCACAAACTACAACACCAGTCACTTGTAGGATAGGGCCGTGGTTCTGTGTCCCATCCCTCACTCTGCACAAAACATTGACCCAGATGCCTTGTGACTGTTCTCTCTGCTGGGGATATTGCTGATACTTTTGGATTTTTGCTGAAAGCAGACACTGTGGGCCAGCCATGCTTTGGAAGGCCACAGAAAGCAGAACCGGCTTTTATTTTCTCTGTCTCCTCTGGCCAGCTCCTGCTAGGAAAGCTTGGATTTTTAGGAAAGTAAGCCCTTGCACCAACTTTCTTTTACTCTGAATTTACCTATGATAGGACAATGGGAATGGTTTTAAACTGGCAGGGAGTAGGTTTGGATTAGATGTTAGGAAGAAATTCTTCCCTGTGAGGTCAGTGAGGCCCTGGCACAAGTTTCACAGTGAAGCTGTGGCTGATCCATCCCTGGAAGTGTCCTCTTGGACAGGGCTTGGAACAACCTGGCATAGTGGAAGGTGTCTGGTGGAATGAGATGAATTTTGAGGTCCCTTCCAACCCAAACCATTCCAGGATTCCATGCTTCTACAGCATGCCTTCTTTTGTGTTTGTGACTTTCCCTCTTTATAGGCTCCATACCTACCCTTCACTTCTGTCCCTTTTTAGCTGCCAGTGAAGCTACAGAGAAATGTCAGACCCCCGTTGGCAGAGCTCCTGCTCACCTCCATAGGCCACAGTCCCCTGCGAGTCCGTGGTCAGGCTTTGCCGGAGCTGCCTCTTCTTCTCCTCAGTCACAGCCAGACCAAGATACTGCAGAACCTGGAGCAGAAACAAGGAGCCTTTCAAAAGAAAAATATTGGAAAAGCAACTCTTTGGCATAAGCACTGGGAAGACATTTGGTGCTGGGTTTCTCTAGGTAGCATCTCCCAAAGGAATTGGATTGGAATTCCAGTCTCTCCTTTGCTGCACATGTACAGAAATGTCTGTTCCTGAACACAGGTTCACATCCCTTCAAGAATATTTTATCTGAAATCAGATTTGCAGCTCTGATGAGTTTTCAGGACTTTTATCCAAAGCCAGTGGAGTTTTAGCAAGAGTCAGCTGGCAAGAGCTCAGCCTCTCCTTTCTCTTGCTGCCCAGAAATTGTGTTTGGGACCACGAAGATAAAAGCTATTAACAGAGTATTTCTCATGGAGAGAGGAGACATTCAAACATTTTGCTCCTCCACTGCATGTTTTGCTCTCTCATTATTCCTGATGCCTTAACTTCTACTGATATTTATCAGTTCAACCTCAGGGCAGCACACAGAAGCAGATAAACCTGTGCAAGCCCCACTTCCCTGCTGGCAGCAAAAAGCTTTTAAAAGACAAAGCCGAGCTCAGCAGACTGTGGGAAAGCGCCTGAATAAAACGTTCACCTGTGCCAGGCTGCACCCACAGCATCTCCTGGAAATTCCCTGGGAAGGGGCTGCGAGGGATCCCCCTCACCTTCCCAGCCCCAGCAGTCCCTGGGATCCATCTGCTGTCCCGTTCGAGTCCCATTCCTGCTCCTCTGCCCACCACCCCTGTGCGAGGCAGTGCTGCAGGCACTATAGGATGATTAAAGTGACACTTTTTAGGATGTTGGCGGGGTTGGCCATCCCAAAACCACCTCATGTTGTGGCAGTCGGTGTCACCCCCCACCCTGTCACCGCTGCAGCCTAGCACCGCTTTTAAAAGTGCAGCTCAGCGCTCCTGCCAGCCGAGAGGAGCCGCTCAGTCCCCGTGAGGAGCAGAGGTCGCTGTGCAAATGCCATCCGGATCCCGCTTTAGGAGAATTCCGCAGGCTCAGCACAGCGGCTCCGCTGCGCTGCCGTCGGGTGGCAGCAGATGTTCGTCACATCGGGGCCTCCGTGGTGTCCCCAGCCCCGCACCAAGGGCTCTGTCCCCACATCCCCCCCCCAAAAGCCGGGAGAACCCAAGGGGCCAGACTGGGACTGGTCCCCAAAGCACCCTCCCCTCACCATGGTCTCAATGAGCAGATGGGCAGCTCTGCTCCATGCCCTGGAATGTGTTTTCCATCAAATGATGGAAGAATCAGCGGTTCTAGGTGGCTCCTCCATGAGACATCTCCTATCTCAGCCTTCCCTCCTTCCCTAGCAGTAACAGCAGCGCCAAAAGTCTGGAGGGCACAACCTTAGCCAATGGCATGATGTCCTAGGGAGGTGCAGCTGCCAGGAAAACACTTCTGGAGCTTCCTGGAGCACCAAGAAATAGCCAAGATGAGCCAAGGGATGTTTAAATGCCCCTTTGGGCACAGTCAGGTTGTTTCACCCTCTTTACTTTCAGAGGCTGGACTCAACCTCCAGCAAATGCACCTGAAGATGGGCAATTTCCAGCACAGTGCATAAGGAGGACACCTTGCTTTGGGGAGAGGGACCCTGTCACTTACCAGATCCAATTTTCCATCCTTGAGCCGGATATGGGGATCCAGTGCTACTTTAGGTTTGATGCCTGAAGCTGATTTGTAGTTAGAAGCTGAAGCAGGTGCTGAAAAATCAGAAATAAATGTTAATGGGGAAGCATTTGGGTAGAGGTGTCTGCAAAACAAAATTCAGGTCTCTTGTTGTGTGAAATATAAAGTGTGTGCAGCAGGGGAAAAATCCAAGTCCAGGATTTACTAAAACCAGCTCTGGAAGGCTGAACTAGGCCTCTCTTGGAAAGACTGGATACTGGGGCAAATCCTTCTGAAACTGGGCTTCTGCATGGTTTAAAATGAGATGTTTCATCCAGGGACAAAGGACTGCAAAAATAGCACTTTGGAAATTTCCAATCACAGAGTTTTGTGGAGTCTTGAAGTGATGGTGAACTGTGAGAAAAATTAATTAAAATCTGCCTAGTTCTTGTCCACTCTGATTAAGCAAAATGGAAAGAATTCCAGATACCCATGGGAATGAACAGATTAAAAGTGATGTGGAAAAGCAGCACTCTGAGATTTTTTCCCTCCCCAAGACTGCAGGAAGCCTTGAACTCTTTTCCCCTCAGCTGGGTGGGCAGGTTTCTTTTTGGTAGAAGGAGCCACATGTGTTGTGAGGCAGCAGCTGCTGTGCTGGTGAAAAGCTGTCATGAGCTGGAGGATCCAGCTGCCAACAGCTGGCTCAGCATGGCCAGCACTGCTGCACAGCTCAAAAGGTCCAGAGCACAAGCCCTGCTCCTCCATCCTGGAGGGAACCCCACCTTTTCCATGATGATAAACCCTTGCCTGTAAGGAACCATGGTACTCCCTGGGAAAAGGGCTGGAGAAGGATTTAGCTGCTCCCAAAGAACCCAAGCAGACTCCAGAAAGGTGCAGGGTTGCTGTGCCTGCCCCTGCCCACACTCAAACCATCAGCCCAGGTGACAAAATTCCTTCTCGTGCCAGTCATGAGATTTGCCCAGGGAGCAATTCCTTTTGCCTGCTCAGGATCTGGTGAACATCATGGGAAGCCCTGGTTTGCCAAGCAGCACAGCTCCTCTGGAATCCCTGCAGCTCTTCTCCCCTCACCCTGCTGTCCATCGGGGTGCCAGGAGAAGCAGTGAGGAGCAGCAGAGGTGCTGCATAAGCCTGCTAATCCAGGCATCCATCTGCTCTGCTAAGGCCAGCAGCTGGGAAGCAGCAAGAGGTAGCAAATGTGTTTTCTGGATCAGCCACCACCACTTCCCTCTCCCAGTTCAAGGGCAGAGCCATGACTAATCAGGATTAGCTCCATGTGGCTTTGCTGTCAGCTCTGGACACAGCCATATCCAGGGCATCCATCAGGCACCCAGAGAGAGGCACTGCCTGGCCCAGGCACCCAGCCTGGCCAGTTCTGTCTCCATGGATCACAACACTGATACAAAGCCTCCTTGGTATCCCAAATCCTGGAGTAATAAAATTCCCCAGCTAAGTCAGGTCGTGGGTGGGTCACTGCTGGTGCTGGGTTGCTCTGTCCCCATCACCAGGACTGGCTGCCCATGGTGGCCACCTGAGAGTGTCCCTGGCATCTGCAAGGTGCTCAGGGCAGGGAGGACAGAGCTCATCCCTGTCCCAGGGCCTCTCCAGGGGAGCATGGAAGGCAGAGCTGAAGCTGCTGAGCTTGCCCAAGGTGAGCCAGGCATCCCTGGGAGCAGCTGCTCCATCTCCTGCTGATCCCACGTATGGACTAAACACAGTTTACCTCCAGTGCTTGCTCTGAGCCTTCCAGAAGGGAATCACAGCAAGGCACAGGGATTTGTAAGCAGAGCCAATGTCCAGGGAAGGAAGGGCTGGTGGGTTTGAGGCTGCAAGAATGGTGAGCAGCACTGGTTCAGGGTTTGTTGGGAAAGTCCATCTTTCCCTCGGGGCAGGAGTAACCTTCCTATCACAGGGCTGTGGGGTACCCTGGTAGAGATTGTCTCCCTGGGCTCTGGGGATTATTGAGGTTTCCTCAATAGTATTAAGGGAGTTGGGAAGCTGCAAGATGATTCAGGTTCACCCTCTGTTGGATGAACAGAGTGGGTGTCTCCACAAAAGGTAAGAGCTCAGGAGACCTAGAGCATGGAGATGAAAGACAGAATGGAAAAATAAACAAAAATTGAAGGTTGGATGTAGAGAGAAATCTGATTTATTTAACATCTCTAAGCCATTTCCCAATTTGGCCAATTGAGGGCATCAAAGCCTGTTCAGAGCCCAGGGCTGCTGTGTACATCCCAATTACCATTACCTGACTGCTTTTATGCTGTGTGTCCAAGGGCCCCCATTCCCACCAGAAGGGAATGTGGCCTGTGGAGAACCTGCTGCATGTCTGAAGTGGGCAAAGCCCCTGCTGCAAATGAACCACAGGCTGAGAGTGGAGGAATTTCTTTCCCGTGAATACCTCAGTCCTTGAATGCCTTAGTAAAGAGTTTTGCTACTATGGGCAAACATGGACATAATTACTACTCGTTGAGTAAACCAAGCTGCTGCCTGCCCTCTCTCTGAATAGTCTGAGTGTCATTATCACCCCATTAAATTCCACTCCAGCAGTATAAACATTGCTAAAAAATGTGGTGATAGGACAAGGGGGAATGGCTACCCAAGGCCAGAGGGTAGGGATGGATGGGATATTGGGAAGGAATTGTTCCCTGGGAGGGTGGGCAGGCCCTGGCACAGGGTGCCCAGAGAAGCTGTGGCTGCCCCTGGATCCCTGGCAGTGTCCAAGGCCAGGCTGGACAGGGCTGGGAGCAGCCTGGGACAGTGGAAGGTGTCCCTGGACATGGCAGGGGTGGGATGGGATGATCTTTATGGTCCCTTCCAAGCCAATCCTGTGATTCTGTGGTTTTATAACTTCACGATCCTCAGCTCTGAGGAACCACAGCTGTTTGTCACCCACACAAAGAGAATGGCTGAGCAGGACTCACCTGAGACTGTAAGCTCTGGTGGACAAATGTCCGGTGACAAAGAAGGCACAGGAAAAGGATTTTCACGTCTGTTCTAGAAAAACAAGACAAAATGGCACCGACAGTTGCTAAAAAGAATCTGTTGGTGTAAATAATGAGCAGGAGATAGAGGAGCTCAAGGCAGAGCCATGAGGGCACCACATTCATTTCTTGTGCAGGTGGGCCTAAAGGGATTCCAGGGGTTTCTCTGGGAGCACCTGGCACAGGCTGAGCCAACCCAAAACCTTTGGTCACACACAAAGGGCTCTGTCCTTACTGTAACTGTGCTTGAGTGCTGAGGCTGGTTTTGACCTTGCCTGGTTTCTCCACAGAAGTTCTCCCTGAAGCTCTGCATCCAACCCAGCAGGGAGGTCCCAAATCTGACCACAGCCAGGTGTAACATTGACCCCAAACCCATAATTATCCCCGTGAACAGGGCAGGAAGCCGAGATCAGTTCACACCCTTTCTTGTGTGCTACATCACGGCTGGAAGCACAAGGAAGAGGGAAAAATAATCTGAGGGTGAGCACTACCAAGACAGCTGTGACACAGCTGGGGACTTGGGTGCCAAGAGGGGCAGAGGCCAGGTGTGAGGACACACAGACAGGCAGCACGCCTGCCTGGACACTCTTTCCCTGGTGTGCAAGTCCAGACCTCATTAGAAGTTCCATCTTTCAGCAGCAAAGTGAGGAAAGGAGCCATGTCAGTCCAGCCAATGGTGTGATTTCATACCAGTGCACAGCATCACACAAGCTGGGTGTGAGGGATCCAACCACAGCACTCAGCCACAGCTCCAGGGGCTCTGGTGCCTTTCTAGGGCACATCTCCAGCCTGTGCACCCAAAGGCAGCACATATGTGACATTCATGCAGTCTGTGTCCCCACAGGGCTGGGAAGCAAGATGTTTTGTGAATGGTCTTGTGTGAAAGGAGCATCCAGCCAGCCCCTCTTGAAGAAAATTCGTGTGGAAGAGGGCAGGAAGGACACCCAGCATGGCATACCAGGAGGTGAGTGACAAATGCACAGAATGGAGCCACAGACCCTGAGGGTTGTGTGGATAAACCCTGTCCAGCCTTTCACAGCTCAAGCACTTCTCTGCAAACACAATGTGGAGCTTGGCTTTGCAGGAATGAGTCTGGCTTATCATTAGAGCAGTCAGGAGCAGGAATGGGCTGTGCAGGAATGCTGGGGATTCTTCCTCATCAGAGGTCCTGAAGAATAAAGAGTTGTGCCTGCCTTTGGCTAGGAGCCTAGATCAAACTGACTCCAGAGATCCCTTCCAGCCCTATGACTGGTGCTGAATGAGATGCAGGTTGCTATCCTCAGAACAGCTTTGGTTTTTTTTAAACCTGAGACTCTTGAAACAGGTCTGAATGCAGGCCCTGGAGATGAAACTCCTGTCATTACCTCCACAGATCTATCTCTGTCTCAAACTCAAGAGAGAAGAAATTATTTCACATTTAAAACATCTGCCTGCAGGTAAATACATCAACAGTGCAGACTTTCCACTGGGTTTCCAGAGTATTACCAGGGTCTCCCTAAAGGAGAGTTCTCTGATCAAGGAAAGATGCCAGGACTGATATCTGTTAGACATGAACTTCCACCTACCTCTGGGGACCTCACGTGGACCTTCAGCCTGCAGGAGCTCAGGCCATTGCCCACAGCCTTTGGAGGCAGGGATGGGATGTTGTTGGGAACTGACAGTCCGGGATGTAACCGTCCCCTCCCAGGAATAAAGGCCACTTCTGTGCTTCCCTCATGTCTTCAGCAAACAACAAACACAGAACATCTTCTTAACAAAACAAAAGGCACAAATTTGCAGAGCTCCCATGCTTGTGGCTCTGTCTCCAGGATAAGCTCACCTAAGCCTGAGCAGCCTGCACCAGTGCAGCTGGATCTCCACCAGTTGCATTCCATTGAGTCATGGAATGGTTAAGGTTGGGAAGACCCCTGAGATCACTGAGTCCACCCATTTCCCAGGTACTGCCAAGGCTGTCACTGATCCATGTCCCCAAGTGTCACATCTCCATGGTTTATGCACACATCTAGGAATGGTGATTCCAGCCCTGCCCTGGTCAGCCTGTGCCAAGGGCTTTACAAGCCTTTCCATGCACAAGCTGTTCCTAATATCCAATCTAAACATTCCTTGGCACTACTTGAGGCTGTTTCCTCTTGTCTTGTCACTTGTTAATTGGGAGAAAAGCCCAATCCCCACCTGGCTCCACCGTCCCGTACAGATCCATAAGGTCTCTCCTGAGTCTCCTTTTTCCCCCTTTTTTAAACTTCAGTTCTGTTTCAAAGCCCTGCAGGGCAGTGATAGGAGATACTCATGAGGCCCAGAGGATCAGGAAGGTCTGGATTACACTTCAGGATGATCCATGCCTTCAGGATTTCCTTAGGTGACCACCTTAAAGCATCATTTAAGACTAATAGTGCCCTTGAAGACAAATCTTGGTGTGTTCTGCCTAAGACTCAACAGCACCTGATGATGACAGGAAATACTTTCTATGCCTACCTGAATTTGGCTTTTTCAATTATTTTTCTGGCCTCCTCATGTGTGCTGCCCACCAGAGAATCTCTATTGATAGCGATGAGCTGGTCTCCAGGTCGGAGCCGACCATCCTAAACAAACAGGGAGAAAGACACAGCATTGAGAAGGGATATCTCTGCCCAGAGATATCTCCTGCAACACAAATCCTCATTAGTCCATGCAATTATCCATCTAGCCTTAGAAAAGCTGCTTCAGAACAGCCACAGCCTCTAGGAAAGGTTCCCATGGCAGAGCTCCTGAGGGTCTCCATGCTGACTTACTTTGTAACAGTCCCCATCTGGCAAAAGCTCCTGGACATAAATCATGGGCCCATCAGGCCTGTTGGATCCACCACTGATTGCCAGCCCCAAGCCAGAGGAGTTTGCTATAGAAATGCTCTGGATTCCTGAGTCCATGGAGTAGCTGCAAGGGAGAGAAGTCAGTAGGTGACTCAGGGTGATCTGGGTTATCTTCTCATATCACTGAACAAACTGCCTGGATTTTTTTCCATGCGTGATCCTTCTACCTTCTCCCAGCCTTTTATTTGCATCCTTTCTTCCACCCACTGTTGGAAAGGGGAGCTGAGGGCTCCTGCTCTTTGGCAGACATTATTCAGTGTTATGAAGGTGACTGATTCCCCAAATACCAAATAGGACAATACTCGTTTAGAGAAGAAATGAAAGATTTAACCGGAATATATTTGGCATTCCTGGTTTTAGAGCAAAAAGCACACAAATGATCAACACAGTTGTGGCTTGAATCCAACTGAATCACCAGACAGCAACTTAGAGATGGATCAGCTATCAAGCAGCTCTTGGCAAACATCAGAGTGAAGCTCAGGATACACAGCTGGGTGTATCTTAACTAGGGTTTGGACTCAAAAATCATGCAAGATGCCCTAAGAAATGGGCATCCTTAATAGCAACACCACCACACTCTGAGTTGCTGCTGTGGCAAGTGGCTTGCCCAGTCAAGGATGAAAAGGAGCAGAAAATAGTCTGGAGCCTTCCCTCCAGCTGCTGGACAGGACTCAACAGGACACCAAGGCCTGGCCATAGCAGTGGCCCTGTGGCAGCAGGGAGGTCTGGCAGTAACAGAGCTGTGGGAGCAGAGATTTCACTGAGCTCCCATGGGCAGCACTGCAACAGAGGAGGTTTGGGGGAGGATTTGGTGGTATATAAGGATCAGCAAGCCTTTTCCTCTAAATGGGATGGGTGCAGCTGTGGGTGCAGCTGGCCTTTCGCTTTTCAGTTTATTTCCACAGCAGCCACTGACCAAAGAGTCTGCACTGGCTCCTCGTGTTACAGCTTCAGATACAACAGCAGCTGTGCACATGTTCCCAAGCAATGCCATCCCTGGTGGTCACACACCCCAGTGGAAGGGGTGCATATGCCTTAATCTTATGAAAAAACATTGCTTTAAGGTGAATGATCTTAGGGAAATGATGTCATGAAATACAGCATTAAAATGCTCTGTTCAACCCAAAATCTCAGACACTAAGTGTGGTGACATTGCATTGCATCCAACTCCCATTGCTCAGTGGCATGGCAGGACCTTAGGTGATGAGAAGTCACAGCCTGGGGACAATCTCTGGGGAGCAGTAGGGGTGGCAGCCACATGCATGGAAAGACCAGGCCCAAATTACATCTCACAGCTGATCACCAATGCTCAGCTGAAACCAGTGGTCTGTGATTCCAGAGGAAGACCACTGGGGCCTGGCACCAGCACGGAGACAAGCAGAACATGGCACAGCATGGCAAGGAGGCCACCAAGACAGGCCTCTCCAGCCTAAATGCCCAGGGAATTGGAATGAGATGATCTCTGGGTTCCATCCCACCCAACCCATTCTGGATTCTATATCTCAGCCCAGAGAGAATTAACAGCACAGGAAGGATGGCTTGTCCAAACCAGCTGCCAAGTAGATGATCTGGTGTCTCCTCTGTGTGGGTGTCTCACTCCATGCAAGCAGCTTAAACCTCTGGTGCCAAATATTTGTCCTCTGCAAATCCCTCATAAGCTGGTATTTAGCAAGAGGATTTACTGGTTCTGCAGTGAGGGCTGATTCTCTTTACCAGTGACTTGGCTTGTTTGTGCTGACAAAGGAGGGGAGCTGTGAGCCCTGGGGACAAATGGTCCCCATTCCACAGCTGTGAACACCCTCCGAGCTGTCCCTCTGGAGAAGGACCCTGGAGACTCTGCAGAAATAACAGCTCTGCCTGTCCAAACCCCTGAGCCTGCAGAACGTGCAAGGGCAGATGGCCACATGAAAACACACTCTGGGAGATGCTCTGGCCACCAAAGGGTGCAGTGACTGCAGGCTGATGGAAAGGGCAAAGGGCATCAGGGATGTTTGCATGGAGTGCTGCTGATGCTCTTGGAGCATGGAGTCAAAGTGCCAGGAGCAGGGCAATAGGAAACAAGCTCCAAAAACACCTCCTGAAAGCAGCAGCAGCCTTGCAGGAACACTCTTCTCGTGGTTTATAAGGTGATGTGCAGGGCCCTCTCAGCTGGCTGTAAACCATGGCCCCTCCCTGGGATTCAGAGGGGAGGAAGAGGAGCTGCTGCATGGTGACCATGGTGCAGATATATTGATGGTCTCAACTGGGAAGCTTTTCACCCCTTGGGAACAAACTTCCCAGAAACAGCCAAGATTCCACCAGCACATCCAGAAGATGCTGTGGCCTCTGAACAATTGTGGTGATAGAAGAGTAGCCGGGCTGCAACCCACAAAAAAACTCTTCTGATTTTGTCATCTCTTCGGAGTGATGAGAAGTTTTGCTGTTTAGTACTGTTCATTTTTGTATTGAGAAGTGCTTTGCCTGTTAAATAAACAGGTTTTTTTCCACTTCTCTCTGGGAAAATATTTCCCCAAACCAGTTGGGGAAGGGACTGCTTGAATCTGTTTCCTAAAAGAACCCCATTCAGAGGTTTTCACCCTAAATTTGCTCTAAACCAGGACAAAAAGACATAAGGATGAACAAAACTGCTCAAGCAGCACTGGGATGATTTCCTGGGTGTAGGCTGTGCCATTTGCTGCTCTCGTGTGAGGCAGCAGGCCAGGCTGGTGGTGTGTACGTACTGCAGGGTGCCGATGGCGGGGCCGTGCGGGGCGGCAGGGCTCAGCAGCAGCGGGCTCTGGGAGCGTGAGGACGAGCCCGAGGATGTGCTCTCCAGGTACCGACCTGAACAGCAAAGGCACAGTCACAGTCAGGCCAGGACACACAGACACCCCAGCACCACCCTCCCCCTGCTCTGCTGCTGGCAGCTCATGCTGCACTCCTAGATTTTTGGGGATAGCCACATGGTGGTTAAAGACATCAGGATAGAGCTGAGGGAGAGGAAACATTCAGCCTCCTTGGCACAACTCCAGCGTGGGAGTGTCACCCCTCTGCCAACCCTACACCCCTCTGCCAACCCTACACACCTCTGCCATAAGTGAAGGGCCAGCAGCTGTCTGGTGGGATGCCAAGGTGTAAGGAAAGCTTCCTTCCCCAGGCACACAAGGCTCTGTGTGCTGGCATCTTGCTTAGGTCAACCTTGTTGCATCTCATTAAACATTTCCCATTTGCAAATGAAAAGTAATGATCTTTGAATGAATTATTGCTGAAAGGCCTTGAGATCCCTTCCTGATGGAGTCACCTGCCCAGCACAACGGTTAGGCAGAATCTGGGGATCAGGGGAGTGGTTATGGCCCCAGTTCCAGTCTCACTTGGTCACCCCATGGCAGCAATGGCCACGTGCTGGGCATGCACCAAGGGTCTGCAATAAGGATGAGCTTCCTTCAAAACTCCACCCCAACACCTACTCAAATCCAAGCACAGCTCCTTTAGAATGGCACTGGGATAAAGGAAACTCTGTCTGCAGAGGGAGGGGCTTCCAGCTCCCTGCTGAGCTACTCACTGCCGCCGTGCAGGACCGGCGAGCTCCGCGCTGAGCCCGTGTTGCTCTGGGAGCCGAACTTCTCCAGCAGCTCAGAGAACTCCCTCCTGCAAACAAAACCATGCTGCAGTCAGCTGCTGCTCAGAACTCCCCCCACGTGATTCTATGGCCACAGAGCCTCTGGTGGCAGGGACTGGCTACCAAGGCTGCAGGGCTGGGGCTCTCCAGCTGTGGGGAGCAGACAAAGCTTCCTCATGCACAAGGGGAACACTCTGGTTTCAAGAGTTTGTGCAAGGCTTCAGGTCTATAATCAATCTCATGGCAGTGCAGCTTTCCTGTGGTGGGCTGGAGCTCCAGAATATTCCTTCCCTGCCCTGGAGTGTGTTCAGTGCAAGGGGAGCTGGGAAGGGACGTATCCTTAAAGGTCTTTTTCAATCTTTATGATCCTATGATTCTATGGACAGGCTCTGTGCTGAGAACTGTCATTCCTGAGAAAGGGCAGATGAATACTGGAGCCCTGCCTTGCATCCTGCCTTGCACCCCACCTCATGGACCTTCCTGGAAATGTTTTCACCCCCAGCTATATAGCTCAAAAGTTTTGCAAATTAAATCCACACAAATTAAATCCTGCCAGAAGGAGCTGTAATTGTGCAAACATAACCAAAAAATTCTTGGCCTATTTGTGACTCCTTCTAGGACAGTAAAATATAGGTTATTCTCTGTTTTTTCTCCTCTTTTCCTGGACAGAAAGTAGATCCTGTAGCTCTTGCTGGAGTAAAGAGAGGGATGGCTTTTGGAGCACCTGCAGAAGCATCAGCCCACTCTCCCAATCCATCCATGATGATGTCCTCCATGAATATCACAAGCTAAACCCTTGGAGCATGACACCTCAACAAAGACCTGCATGCAGTCTCATCCCCAAAATCCCCTAGAAAGCGATCTCCATGCCCAAGCACCAGAAGCTTTGCTCCAGGTTGAGTTTGACCAATGTGTGCTGAGCCCCTGATGAGCTGGAACTCCCTGTACACCACAGGTGATTTGCTTCATGACCTTTTTTTTTGCTGAGTGTGACATCCTGAGTTTTTCAACTCCATTAAGAGCTACCATTGTTGACAGTTACTAGCTCCTGCTCATTTCTGCAACCTTTCTTTGAGTTGCTGTGAGCCCCTCACATCCTTTCAAATGAGGAGGTGTGGAAAGGAATGACATCTTAATCATTTTCATGTTCATGTTCATGTTTAGCAGCCTTCTGACCCACCCCTGCCACGCTGGCTCTTTGCTCTCGTGTTGTCCCTCTGCAGTGGGGGTGTTCTCTCCCTTCATAACCCAACCTCACCTGAGGGATCTGACCTTTTGGCAGAGAGATCCTCAAGGATGACTAATTTCTTACACATGCCAGTTAATAAGCATCCAGGCAGTGGGAGAGACCCTGAAGATGTTGTTTCAGTGGCCACAGCAACACCATTAGATGTGGTCTTTGAAGGCAGGAGGGAATCCCCATGGGAAGGTGCCTTCCTGATGCCATAGCCCCAGGAAAAGCCTGGCTATGAGTGGCTCCCTCTCAGGCTTGACAGTCAGACAAGCTCAAGAGATGAAGCTGTAGGAACCCAGCCACAGCAAAGTTCCCTGAGCGGGGAGACTGCAGTGACACACTCGCAGACGCTGCGTCACCTGCGTTCCTCACAGGGACAGATGTTGGGTGTTATTGGCTAGATTAGAGTCAACAATATTAAATGATGAATGAATCATCAGCTCCTCGGGTTCCTGCTGGAAATGCTCTCAGTAATTTACATCTTCCCAGTCACAAGCAGCTCATTAACAAACTTCAAAGACCAGCCCATGCCTTATCTAATATTGCCATCAAATGTATGCCTTATTCATTCCATTTAATGCTAATTTAAAACCCAAGTGTCACACAATGCTCAGTGACATGCCTTGGTGAATCCCAATATCTGCATCCATACTACTGTCTTTATCAACCAAACCCATTACTTTAAAAAAGACCACGACTTTGTTCAGAACCCCATGTCCCACAAAGCTCTTTTGGCTTTCACCTCTTGGGCACAAACTTCCCAGGAACAGCCAAGATGCCACCAGGAGATCCAGAAGATGCTGTGACTTCCCAGTCATTGGGGTGATAAAAGAGTAGAGGGGACATGAGGATGCTCAAAGCCATTCTCCAAGCACTGGAATTCTTTATTGGATCAGTGCAGGCATTTGGTGGCCCACCAAGGGACAGCTGTGTGGGGCCAGCCCTGTGTGACCTGCACTTGCTGTACGTAGAGGGGAGGCAGTTTCATAATGTAAAGGACCAAAAATGATGTAAAATATTAGGAAAATTTCTCCACTGAAAGGATGTCAGGCACTGGAACAGGCTGCCCAGGGAGCTGGTGGAATCCCTAGAGGCGTTCAAAAAACGTGTGGATGTGACACTTGAGGACATGATTTAATGACAGCCTTGGCAGTGGTAGGTTAAGGGTTGGACTCGAGGGTCTCAGAGGGTTTTCCAACCTAAATGATTCCACAAGCACTGGGGAAGCAGAAGGACAAGTCAGCCCCTGGCTTGCTGATCCGTGGATCCCTGAGCTGAGCCTTGGGTGGGTCTCAGCAGAATGATTCCAATTTCCCAGTAAAGCCTCTGTGTTCCTGCAGCTGATTCACACCAGTTTCACTGGCAGCTCACACAGCCATGGCCTCACCCCTCCCTGACCCCTGCAGGGACAGGTCCAACACAATGGAATCTCACATATTATTGCCAGTGGTTACCAAGCCACCAGCTCCTAGGTTTTGTTTTGGGCTGGGTATTTCTGTGGTCATCTCTTGTTCCATTTTGCTCAGATAATAATCCAGCAGAGCACAGAGGAGGTTATAAAGCCAAACAATGGCTGAAATACTCTTAGTCAATGCAAATGCAACTGGTGCAGCAGCTCTGTGACCCTGCAAACCCCATGACCAACCAAACTCTGTCATAAGTGAGGACATGCATGGGCTCAGCATTCCTTGTTGTTGTTTATTTTGTGTCCTGAAATTCATCCACAAAGGAGGTTTATCATTATTTGCTCAGGAGCCTGGATGAGCTGAGACTGGGTCCAGCCCAGGGACAATGTGACCAAATGCCACCATCCCAACTCCTGCTTTGTTGGTCAGTCTTGCCAGCCCCAGTTCCACCAGGGACACAAACACATGACTAACTTGAGGCACACGCTTATCCCAGGAGAAAGTAAAACACTTTCTGGTGCCAGCTCCTGGGAATTAATTTTGTGCTCAGTGCTGTGTTTGGAGGAGTTTGACGTGGGCAGACAATGCCCAAACATCACTGATTAATGAACGAGTGCACACAAGGAATGCCAGCAGCCCTTGCTTTGTGCTTTCAGACACCAAGAGGCTTCAGAAGATGTCTTTAATATTTAAAATTTGACCCTTACTAAAACATTGTGAATTGTCAGGTGCCTGCAGGACTAAAATGCCCAGCTTTATTAAAAAACAACAACCATGGCGTTGTATGAGGTGGAAAGTTCATTTTAACAAGCCCTTCTCCAGTTTTTTTTCATTAGGATGCAAACATTTGAGGTCTGGAGGATGCTTGCAATAGAGCTTGGCCCTGGACAGCCTTCAGCCAGCCCCAGGGTGGGATGGGGGGTCTGCCAGAGCAGCCAGCTCCAGGATGACTTTGCTACAGATTAAGCAGCAGGGGGTCAATCTCCCTGCAGAAAATTGTTGTTTTATCTCATAATGCCTCTTTGTCCTGCCCTTTTGTTCCTGGGAGAACAAAGGGTGAATCCTACATCAAAGGTTACACAGCGTCTGGAAACCTCAGCTTTGCACCACAGCTGGGAGAGAAAGTGAAGCCTGTGACATCAGAAATTACTGGTTTGTCTCAAAAAAAAAAAAAACAAACCTGCAGGTGAGTGGGAGCCATGAACCCAGAGCACTCCAAAAGCATCACAAAGGCAGATTTTCTCACCCACAGCTCCAGTGGAATCAGGGCACCCACAGCCAGCCTGGAGCTGACACCCAGCTATGTGGGGAGGAGACACCCTGGAGGGGAGGGATGGGGCATCCAGAGAGACCTGGGCAGGCTGGAGAGGTGGAACCGTGGAAAATTCATAAAGCACAACGAGGCCAAGTACCTGGGTCAGGGCAATCCCAAGCACCAATCCAGGCTGGGCTGGGAATAGACTGAGAGCAACCCTGGGAGAAGAATTTGGGGTGCTGGTGGGTGACAGCTGGACATGGCCTGGCTGTGAGCACCCAGAACCTCTCTTGTGCTGGGCTGAGCCCCAGGGTGGGCAGCAGGAGGGGGGAATTCTGCCCCTCTGCCCCCTCAGGTGAGACCTCACCTGCAGAGCTGCCCCAGCCCTGGGGCCCAGCACGGGAAGGACGTGGAGCTGCTGGAGAGAGTCTGGAGGAGCCCATGGAGATGCTCCAAGGGCTGGAGCCCCTCTAGAGCCAGGCTGGGAGAGCTGGGGGTGCTCACCTGGAGAAGAGAAGGCTCCAGGGACACCTCAGAGCCCCTT